CCAGCAGGTCGAGGCTGCAGTGGCCTTGAGCATGCCATTACCCTCCAACCTGGGTGACAGTGAGATTCCAACTCAAAAAAAAAAAAAGAAAGAAAGAAAGCCTGGACCCCAGGAACATGTTCTCCCTCAGGAAGAAAATTGCTGAGGCTACCCCCTTCCCACTGTGTATTTGAGTTTTAATCCCATTGTCTTTAAATGATCAAAAGAGGAACCTTAAATCTGGGGTCAACACATTTCTCTAAAGTATTGTTATCTGTCCCCAAGGGTTGAAGGAATGCCTGCACTGTGCATGACCTCATGAACACAGACCCAGTTATTTTATGGGTGGAGAGTTGAACTAGATGAACTTTAAAGCCAAGTCCAGCTCCAAATTTAGCTTTTAAAACAAACAAGACATTGAAGGGAGAAAACAATTCACTGTACCACATGAATATATAATCTGAAAGCCACATCCTCATTCTCTCTCTCTCCCAGTCTCTCTCTCTCTCATACAAAAGAGCATGTGAGCGCGCGCGCGCGCGCACACACACACACACACACACACACACACACACACACACACACACACACACACACCTCTTTTTGGCAATCCACAATGTTTAACATTTTACTCTCTTCACACAATCCTGGAGTTGGTCCACCACCATCCTTCTTATACCTTCCTTCCAGGCACCCTTGTGTATTGACAAATATATTCCCTTCTACCTACAGTAATCTGACTTCCTGGATCAGAGGAGACCTACATAGTGCTTTTTCCTATTCCTCACCTGGAAGAGGACAGCCTTCCTTATAAAATAAAAATCTACAAAGTTAGGAAAGAGAAAAGCCTGCACCAGGGATTCTTGGAAGGGGAACTGGAAGCTGTCCAGTTGGTCAACTCTCTCCTTCCTTCCCCTGGGGTTCTGTCATTTTGATTCCCACTGCTGTGACCAGACCAGACCCTTCAGATATGCTGCTTCTCCTTTACAATTGTCCAGGTAAAACTTAAAGTTCCACCCTCAGACTAAACTAGAATTTCAAAAGGAATTTACCTTGCCAAACAAACAAAAACAAGAACAGTGAATAGAAAACAAAAGTGAAACAAACTGGTAAAATGTGTCGAGATTAATTTCTGAGCCTACTAGCTTCCCCAACACACAGCACTCTGTTTCTTTCTGTCTTGTATGGCCCTGCTCAGAGATAACCATTTTGAATGCATGAACACTTTCTCCTCCCATTTTCTTCCCATAAACTACTTCCAGAAGTGATGCTCTAATGCCAAAGATTCTTCTGGGAAAATCATGGATGTGGAGCAGATCAATTCATCAATTGAACAAGCATTTAGCACCTATTTGGACATCCAAAATATGTAACCAGTGCTGCCCTCACTCTTCTCCAGGGCCACATCAGCACAGAAATAGTCTAGGGACAAGATTCTAGCCCCCATGACCACTCCTCCCACCTACCCACATCCACCACAGGGTCCACACACAATCTGTCTTCTGACCCCTTCCCCAGCTCATCAGAGCCTGATCTTATGCGTTCCTACATGGATAACCACACACAGTCATGTATCCATAACCCTGTGCTCCCTCCACAATCTTTTGTTAGGCTGAGCTCTTTCAGGACTTGTCTTGTTTCTGGTTTCTTGTCCTTACTCTCTAAGTACCCAACGCTAATTCCAAAAACAATTCCACAGCCCACCTTTCTGTGTCCAATAGGTGTCGCCCTTCACTGGAAAACAAACAGACCAGTTGGTATCTATTCCACAGGTGGACCCACCCAAACAGCAAATTCCCTTGGGCTTAGGGTAGAAGGGAACGGAAGGGTGACCCTGAAGAGATGTGTGCTCACTAGCATGAGGGTCTTCAGAATAATCGACTTCAGGTAGACAAGCATCCTGTAGAAAACCAGTTCTTTGACCTTGGATTAGTCATTTGTCTCTGAACCTCACATTCTTTTGACATGGAGGGAGACAATCTGTTCCTTATAGTAATTGTGAGAAGACAAGGAACAAACACAAATCACTTAGCCCAGTGCCTGGCACGATAATCACTCAAGCTACGTTTTCTTCCCCCATTCAAGGTATGGAAGAAATGACTTTCTAGAACTCACATCTGAAGTTAAGTTCTGCCCCCTGAATCCTGACTGAGGGGTCTGCCTTAGGGCTGTGATGAGAATCATATTAAATGATACATGTAAGGTGCCTTGTGGAAAGCTAGGCCTAGAGAGTTGAATAACTGATCATAGCTAGCATCACTATTGCAGGCTGGCTAGATGCCAGACAGTATTCATAGCCATTTACAAGTATGAACTCATTTAATCCTCAGAAGATTCCATATGAGGTGACTAAATTGTTAATCCCCTTCCTCTTCCTTATTCTGTGACTCCCACCAGTTGAACTTCTTCTTATGAACTGTAAATCAGAATGCTGCCCCAAATTCTGTTGTGTCTACATGGGAAAATGGGAGGAGGCTGTCTGGCTTCTCCACTCAAGTAGGTGAGAATCAATCTCAGACCCTGCTCCACCCATATTCCTTCCCCAGGAACCCAGGAAAAAAGACATGAAAGAATAATATTTCCACCAGACTTTATTTCTCAGAGATGATTACCAGCAGCATATGATCCTCAGAGAGCATCACCGTTCTCTGTGGCACAGGGAGGGTCTTTAAACTCCCTTTCTCAGATTATATTCACCCCAAAAATATAGCCTAGGATGATTATTTGGTTATACAATATTCCCAGGAATTAGTTCTCCCAAGTTGCTACAGTTTATGTAAGGGAAACTGGGAATTTCAAAGAATTAGACAAAGAAACCACAGGATCCAAGAGAATATGGGGGTTTGAAGATGGTGGTAGGGCATGGAAGCATCATTAGGAGTTTGAATCTCCTTCTCACTTGGAGTGAAAGTTGTAGGATTCTGCCTCTAGGAAATGTGCCGTCCTGCAAAAGAAATAAGAAGGAGATAATGAGACTTCAATCCAGCTGGGCTCTATCATTTTCTCTGTCCCAGCCCAGGTCCCTTCACACAGTGATATTGAAAATCCTATGTCATCAACAACAGATACAAAGGAACCACCTTCAGTCTCCTCCCCATAGACATTTCAGTGGATAAAAGAGCATGTAGGCTCTCCTCTTTTCTGCTCCTAATCCTAACAGTGGGAGCTTAGATCATATCCTTGGCTAGATCTTCATGGAAGACCACCCTACTACAAGCACCATTAGCTGAGCCCAACACTGACTCCCTCTATCCTTCAAAGGACCAGCAGGAAAACAACACCAGAGATGTTACCTTCTGGATAATTGGACCCAGGAAGAGGAATGTAGCCTAAAAGAGGAAAACACTTAATTAGACCAGTCTTTGTGGATAAAAGTATGTAGCATTATTCACAACAAATGGAGCAGGAATGAGATAGTCAGTCTCAAAGAGAAAGTAAGCAGAGATTGAGAGCAAGAGTGGGGAAGGTCAGGGGTGTCACTCACTAGAGGAGGCAGCCCTTTGCCAGCTGATCAACCCAAGAGAGAACATGATGAGGCCCAGGCCCAGGGTCACTGCAGACACAGAAACCTTCACGGTTGTTGGGGGGGACAGACTGGGTGCTGCAAAAAATAGAAACTTGCTAGAGCCAGTTTCTCTTGCTCACTCCCAGAACAACTTAATTTATTGCAACCTCCTCCTAGCAGGTTCAAAGTTTCAAGGGTTTTTGCTCACACCACCCCGCACCCAAGGAACTGGCCTTTCTCAATCCTCTCTTCCTGTAGACCTAGAATAAACCTGGGGAACCCATTCCCCCCAGAGTTAACACCCCAGCTTCTAGGTCTTCTCTACTACTGTGGAGCCTCTCAAGGCATCCTCTTTCTTCTTCACCCCAAGAGCACCCTCACCAGGATAAAGCATTCCCAATTCCCTCTTTATTACTCCAATAATGACAGTGTTTGCCCTCACTTGTTCCAACTGAACAGTTCCTACAAAATATCTTTTCACGTTTCTTATCCTCCAATGGTCCTATCCGGTGGGTTATCCTAGTACTTGTGTGTTTTCTATGTCTAGATTTGCCACATGTCCTTTCAGAGATTGTCTCCATCCCACTCCACAGCCCCTCCCACCCCACCTCCACTTTCTGGATGGGTCCTGTGCTGAATCATGTTCCACACAGAATTTTTTTTTCCTATGATAAAATGAACACTCCATCACCAAGGGAACGTTCTTGTGCACCCTGCAAGGAGCCCTTCCTAGGATAACTCAAGTGAGCATGTTAGTTCCACTCTCTCCTCTCTTCCCCATTCTCCTCACAGCTGCCCAGCTCTCAGAAGCTGGTCTGGGAATCTTGTTCCTTGGCTTTTTGTAGACACCTTTCCTCTTTCTCATTCCTTCCTCTTTTCTTTCCCCCAAATCCCCAAATCTGTGCAACTTCTCTTGTTACCTTTAACTATTCCCAATCCTGGTTTTGTTCAAACAGTGGTAATGAATTCTTCATGCACTAGCCCCCAAGCACACACACCAAAGTGTCTGCCAGCCCTGGCTTTGCTACTCCCTTATGCTTGATAGAGCAGCCCGAATACAGTACTGCCCCCACACCAAGGGAAGTCTCCCTTCTTCTTCAGTCTTTGTCATTGCTTTGAGTCCCATTCATGACCTGACACCAAATAGCTGAAATCTAAGGAGCCTAGAATAGGGTATTATTACAATTTGGGGTTCTGAGAATATGGTTGCCTAATCTACACCCTCTTTTTGGTGGAATCATGCTCTCTTCCCACCCTCAAACACAAACACAGCATCAACCACACCTCAATAGCAATAATAACAATGACTAATTATTTCAATTCCTTTTTCCCACTGCTTTGTTTCTGGTCCTAAACCCTTCACAAGTTCTCCAGACTCACTCCCACTCACAGCAGTCCCCTCCCTGCCATGCACCATGTATTCATCCACATCTCACTTCCTCTGCTTTAACCCTAATTCTTTCCAACCACCATACACTTACTCCAGAACTGAAGGATGGGCTCAGGAGCCCCAATGTGCTCCACCACGCAAGTGTAGATGTCCCCATAAGAGGGGGTTAATGCTAAATGGGAGAGGGTCTGGTATGTCCAGTCTCCATTGGGTTGGGCAGTCTTCTGGGCACTGCTGTGAGGGATGATAGGCTGCCCGTTCTTCCTCCATGTGATGATCACATCAGCTGGATAGAAGCCCCACACATAGCAGGCCAGCATCACAGGTTCTCTCGTGTTAAAAGGAGTGGTTCGGGCTATTTGCACAGATGGTGGCCCTGCACAAGAGAAAAAAACATGTTCAGGAAAGAGGGTGATATTCTGACTTCTCCATCCTGGTTCCTTTTCTATTTCCATTATAGATTTTGCCGAATTATTTTCTGCTACCACCCGTCTGCCCTGCTGCCTCACTGCCCCTTGAAAGTGAAAGTAAAGAGTTAAAATTTACTCCTGCTTTATTCTTTCTTCTTTCCCATTCCTTCATTTCCCCTTTATTGCTTTCCTCCTCCAAAATTATGTCTGAGCACAATTAGTAGAATCCAGGTCTGAACTGCAAACTGCTTCAGAAGTCACTGTATTTATTTCAAGGCCATAGCTTGAAAGTACACAAGCCAAGAGTAATCCAGAGTTGTAAGGTGGAGTTTGTAAAGGAAAATTTTTCTCTAAATCGTGTTTAACAAGTTAACTTGCTAATTAAGGCCTTTCTCTTTACATGGTAAACTTGTTTCCTTAAAAGAAAACAAGACTAACTCAGGACTAATTCTCTTGAACTTGGAATTGATGTCATCCAAATTAATGAGGTTGTTCATTCTGCTATCTTTTACTAGTTTTTTCTCCTATTAGACCCTCCTGCTTGCTTCTACCTTGGTGTTTTTCAAACAAAATCTTAAGTAGAAATCCAAGAAATTATGTTAAAATGCAGAGTTTCAGTAGGGCGTGGTGACTCATGACTATAATCCCAACATTTTGGAAGGCTGAGACAGGAGGATTGCTTGAAGTCACGAGTTTAAGACCAGCCTGGGCAATTAAGCGAGGACTCATCTCTACGAAAAAAATAGAAAAATTAGCCAGGCATGGAGGCACACATCTGTAGCATCAGCTACTCAGGAGGCTGAGGCAGGATGATCACTTGAACCCAAATGTTTGAGACTGCAGTGAGCTATGATCATGCCATTGTACTCCAGCAAGGGCAACAGAGTGAACTCCTATGTCAAAAAAAAAAGTGCAGATTCCCTAGTTGCATCCTGATAGCTTTATTCAGTTGTATCAAGGAGCTTGCATTTTGGACAAACACCTCCCCCAGGTAATTCTGAGAAAGGTGGTCCAGAAACCACACCTTGAAACACACTACTTTGTCTTATGGGGATCTTAAGTTTTCTTTTTTTTTTTTTAGTTGAAGTCTCACTCCATCACCCAGGCTGGAGTGCAGTAGCACGCTCATGGCCACCCCAGCATCGACCTGCTGGGCTCAGGTGTCCTTCCACCTCAGCCTTCCAAGTAGCCAGAACTACAGGCATGCCCGCCACACCCAACTGATTTTTTTATTCATTGTAGAGACAAGGTCTCACCAAGTTGCCTAGGCTGGTCTCGAACCCCTGGACTCAGGCAATTCTCTTGCTTCGGCCTCCCAAAGTGCTGGGATTACAGGCTTGAGCAACTGCACCCAGTCTTCAAGTTTTCTTTACAAACCTTAAACCATTCTCAGTGCAAGGGATTAAGGCGAGAAAGCATTCATCAGAATCCCCTGGGATTCTAAACATCCCTATGCCTGGGTCCACCCCAGATCTAAAACATCAGAATCTGGTATAAAGAGGCATAAACACTCTGGGAAAGCCATTCTGACACAGCCATGGTTGAACTCGGATCTGCACCCTGCGATATACCCTGGTCTTTGGGTGCATTCTCCCCATGGCTCCTCAAGGCTCAAGCATCACCTCCCCTCCTTTACTCCTGTCTCACTCCCATCAGCCATCTTGTTTCCCTTGGAGTCCAATTCTCCTTTCTACATTTCAAGTTCAGATGTTTTCTCTTCTTTTTTGCCTAAATCTCAAACCTCTGGCCCACTCAGCAATCCTCCCTGGCCTCCCCTCTCTTCTGCACCCCTTTTTCCTCACGTGTCCTGTGGGTCAGTGGTTCCCAGAAGGGCTGGGTGTGTGTGGCACAGTCCTGTAGCCCATTGCGCAAGCGCTGGAGTAGGTTTTCCTGTTTATTGAGGAAATCTGAGAGGTAAACGGCCAAGCCATGTAGCACCCCGAATTCACAAGGGGCCATCATGTCCTGCTCTGGATCCCAACAGGTCAGCAGATCCTTGTTGAAGGAGATGCAATATGTGAAATCCTTTGGAGATCCATCATCATCCAAGAGACAGGTACTTTCCACATGGGCCACAAAGCCACCTAGAGGAGTCAAGGAAGAGAGAGCAAGTCAGTGTCCTTGCTGATGTGACTATAAATAAGTAAAATAATATCAATATATAAATAGCAAATACATATATTGTATATGTATTTATATTTAGGAGCTTGGCAGAGCTCCTAAAAACCCTTGTAATTTCCTGAGTAACAGCAATGCTAGATGCATCTTTTGTGGGTTTTTTGTTTATTTTTCAGAAACAGGGTCTTACTCTGACTCTCAAACTGGATTGCAGTGATATGGTCATAGCTCACTGCAACCTCAAACTCCTGGGTTTAAGGGAGCCTCCGGCCTCAGCCTCCCAAGTTGTAGGGATTACAGGTGCAAATCCTTCCACGCAGCTAATTTTTTTTTCTAATGTTGTAGCAATGGGGTCTCTCTATGTAGCCCAGGCTGGTCTCAAACTCCTGGGCTCAAGCGATCCTCCTGCCTTGGCCTCCTAAGGTGCTGCTGGGGTTACAAGTGTGAGTCACTGTGCCTGGCCTGCATCTTTTGCTTTTGTTCTAATATTTGGTCGTTGACTCCAGTTCCTGAAACAGAGTTCCTAACCCCTTGGAATGTCTTGGATAATAAGAGTGTCTTTTGTTCTGATGAGGTGACTTGGTGGGCTTCTAAATGAGGACTGGTCACTAGAAAGACCAAGCCATAATTAGAAGCCTGAAACTTGTAGTCTTATCCCCCATCTTCCTGCAGGGAGAGAACGGCTAGAACTGGGTTAATAATCAGTTATGCAAGCCGGGCTCGGTGGCTCAGCCTGTAAGCTTTGGGAGACCGAGGTGAGTGGATTGCTTGAGCTCATGGGTTCGAGACCCGACTGGGCAACTTGGCAAGACCTCATCTCTACAATAAATTTTTTAAAAATTAGCCAGGTGTGGTAGCGCACACCTGTAGTTCCAGCTACTTGGAAGGCTGAGGCAGATGGACCTCCGGAACCCAGCAGGTCGAGGCCGCGGTGGCTGGCAGCGGCCACTGCACTCCAGTCTGGGTGTCAAAGTGAGACTCCAACTCAAAAAAAGAAAAAAAAAAATCAGTCATGCATATGTGATGAAGCTTCCATAAAAATCTCTAAATTATGGAATTCAGAGACCTTCCCAGTTTGTGAACACATTCACGTGCCAGGAGGGTGGCACACCCCAACTCTATAAAGACAGAAGTTCCTGCAATCAGGACCCTTCCAGACCTGGCCCTACGGACCTCTTCATTTGGCTGTTCATTTGTAGTCTAAAATATCCTTTGTTAGCCGGGCTCGGTGGCTCAGCCTATAATCCCGCGCCTTGGGAGGCTGAGGTGAGTGGAATGCTTGAGCCAATGGGTTCGAGATCCATCTGGGCAATTGGTGAGATCTCATCTCTACAATAAATCAAAAAATTAGCCGGGTATGGTAACACGCGCCTGTAGTTCCAGCTACTTGGAAGGCTGAGGCGGAAGGATTGCCGGAGCCCAGCAGGTCGAGGCTGCAGTGGACGGGGGCGGCCACTGCACTCCAGTCTGGGCGACAGAGTGAGACTCCAACTGAAAAAATAAATAAATAAGCCGGGCTCGGTGGCTCAGCCTGTAATCCTGCGCCTTTGGGAGGCTGAGGTGAGTGGATGGCCTGAGCCCACGGGTTCGAGACCCGCCTGGGCAGCGAGACCTCATCTCTACAATAAATAAAAAAATCAGCTGGGCGTGGTAGCACATGCCTGTAATTCCACCTACTGGAAAGGCTGAGGCGGAAAGATCGCTGGAGCCCAGCAGGTTGAGGCTGTGGTGGCCAGAAGCGGCCACTGCACTCCAGTTTGGGCGACAGAGTGAGACTCCAACTCAAATAAATAAATAAATAAAATAAAATATCCTTTGTTGAAGGATACAAAATTACACCTAGATAGGAGGAATAAGATCTAGTGCTCTGCAGCACTGTAGGATGACTATAGTTAATAATAATATATTAGCCGGGCTCAGTGGATCAGCCTGTAATCCCGTGCCTTGGGAAGCTGAGGTGAGTGGATTGCCTGAGCCCATGGGTTCGAGACCCACCTGGGCAACTTGATGAGACCTCATCTCTACAATAAATCAAAAAAAATTTGCCGGGTGTGGTAGCGCATGCCTGTAATTCCAGCTACTTGGAAGACTGAGGCGGAAGGATCGCCGGAGCCCAGCAGGTCGAGGCTGCGGTGGCTGGAAGCAGCCACTGCACTCCAATCTGGGTGACAGAGTGAGATTTCAACTCAGAAAATAAATAAATAAATAAATAATAGTAATAATAATATATTATATAGCTTCAAAGAACTAGAAGAAGGATATTGATGTTCCTGACACAAAGAAATAAAAAATGTTTGAGTTGATGGATATGCTAAGTACCATGATCTGATCACTATACATTATATGTATCAAAACATCACTCTCTACCCCTTAAATATGTACAATTATTATTTTTCTGTTAAAACAAAATAAACTATCCTTTGTAATAAATCAACAACAGTAAGTAAACTGTTTTCCTGGGTTCTTGTGAGCCACTCCAGCAAATTACCAAACTCAAGAAGGGAGTCATGGAAACCTCGGATTTGTAGATAAGTTAGATAGAAGTTGTGGGTAACCTGGGGACCCGCTACTTGTAATTGGCATCTGAAGTCTTGCCGAACTGAGCCCTTTACCTGTGGGGTCTGTGTTAACTTTAATTAGTGTCATAATTGAATTGCAGACTAACCCACTGTTATATGAGAATTGGTTGGTATGAGGAAAAACCCACACCTGGTCAAAGAAGTATTGAATGTGAGCATATGGGGCAAAAAAGTTGTTTTCCTATATCCAACTGGGAACACAAGCCTTGGCAACACCTAAGTCTGGCACAAATTTCCTGCCTCAGAGAGTATCTACTGACCAAGCTCACACACTGGAGTCTCTGAGAGCTCGATTTAAGGGAATAGATAATAGTAGCAGAAAAGTTTTCAGATCTAATTTCCTCTTTATGTAAGATTAAATACAGGGCCAGGAGTGGCCCAAGATTATTTGCATGTTTAAACATGACAATTTACCCAGAACGCAGACCTTCAATCAGGCAAATTACTGAGAGACAAAAGGAATCAAGAGAAAGAGTCTGCCTTGTTCTGTGCTGGAAATATTATTAAATATTCACTCCATACATATTTACAAAACACTTGCTTTGTGCAGGCACTGTACTAAAACTGGGGATGTAACAATAAACAAGAGGGACATTGCTTTTGCCTACATTTCAGCAGGAGACATGTATTACACAAATAATTATACAGATTAATACTATTAAAAGTGCTACAGAGTCAGGCATGTGGCTCATGTCTGTAATCCCAGGCTTTTGGGAGGCACAGGCAAGAAGATTGCCTGAACCCAGGGGTTTGAGACCAGCCTGAGTAACTTGGCAAGACCTCCGTCTCTAAATTTAAAAATTAGTTGGACATGGTGGTGTGTGCTTGTGGTTCCAGCTACTTGGAAGGCTGAGGCTGAAGCATCACCTGAGCCCAGCAGGACGAGGCTGCAGTGGCCATGAGCATGCCACTGCATTTCAGCCTATGTAACAGAGGGAGACTTTAACTCAAAAAAAAAAAAAAAAGCCACAAAAGTATAGTGCAAAGTGCTATAGGAATACATAGCAGAGACATACTATCTAGAAGGTCCAAATTCAATAACAAAACTGAACACCCTGACCCCAGAAACAGGAGCAGGGAAAGGAGGATCCCAGGAAGGAATGTCCTTACCTGCTCCTGTACAGCCCAGGCTGAGGCCCAGCAGCAGCGGCAGGAGTGTGACCATACTCTATTCAGCGGAGACTCGGGGAATTCAGTCCCCTGGATGAGCCCCTCCAGGGGCCTTGGGTCCTCGCCTGTTCTAGAAGCCCCAGCCCGGGTAGATGATCTCCAGACACTGAGCGGAATAGGGTATTGCCTGGGTCCCTAGATCCCTGCTAGATGAGTAACCTGGGACTATCCAGCCCCTAGATACTAGGCCTGTTCCTACCAGCTTATCGAAGTCAGTAGCTGTGACCCAACTGAGGGTTGTCAGATTGACTAGGAAGGCGGGGATGGATGTCAAAACAAATCACTGATTGCCTCAGCCTAGCATCATCAGTTACTAGGCAAACCTTATCTGGCCCTAGGCTTAGACAACAGGACTCCTTGTCTCTTTAACTCTTTTTCTGCAGAACAACCAGTGTGTAGGCGGATTTCCCTAGGTCAGTGGAGAGAATATAGGCAATGCTCCCAGAATGTATGTGCCTGGATTGCCCACTGGTTTATCTTTTTCCTCTCAATGTCCTCCCAAAAGACTAGGGTCAGATAACCTCTCTTATCCCTTAAAGGGAGGTTACCTAGGAAAATATTACATAACCCCTTGGTCTGTTCTGCCATCTAGGAGTTGGGAGGACACAGAGCCCTCTGTGGCAGGTGGCAGAAAGAGGGCCTCTAAGAGGGAAGAAGGCACAGAGAGTACAAGTTGTCTGGTCTCAAAGCAAAAACTGTAGAATAAGGGAAGCAGTTCTACCTTAAGGTCAGGGACAGAGGCCTAAAAAATCCCTCCATGGGCCTCCATTGCTTCTTGCTAGTCAAGCTTGATTTCCTCCTTAGCTATAATAGCTATTTTGGAGCCAGGAAACCATATCTTTCTACACTCTGAGCAATCTCAGGGGGTAAATCTCAGGGGATAGATCTCAGGGTAACTTCACTTAAGCCCATTGATAAATATCTGGTTATGGGTCAGTGCCCAAAGTTCACCTGCCTTACCCCAAATTCTAAATTCCCCTGTGTGTTTCCCCTACAGTTCTCCCTGTCCTGAGGCAGGTCCCTGCATTATGAAGCCTCTAGAAAAGTAAGATAAAGTCTCCCTACTTTTCTTTCCTTGGAAAAGACAGTTTTTAAGTGGCAATCTTTCTTATATCCCATTATGAACTATAAAATTGATGGAATTTTCCATCACTAACTTAAAATCCTAAATTGGCTTCCCTCTGCTCCCCAATAGGTTTCAGAACTGCCTCTTCATCTTCATTTCTGGAAGCTCTTGGATTTGATTTAATAGTGAGCTAAACAAAAGAAGATGAGGAGGGACTCCCTTGACACCACACTTACCTGCTTTCCCCACAAAGTCTCTGACAACAGGAGAGTCTGATATTTATGAAGAAAAGGGGAAGAAAAAAATACATATAAGGGTCGTTATCAGAAACAAAAGACTTTTTTGTGTAATTAACTGAGATTAACTGAAGCTCTGCCCATATCTCCCAGCCACCAATCCTTCCCAGCTATACACCTTGGTAGTGTACCCTAACTCCTCTAATGAACCATCAAATGTGTTGGAGTGGGCAGAACATGGGGTAGGGAATCCAAAATCTATAGAGCTTCTGCTTTGTAGCAGATACTATTCTAGGTGGGTCTTTTATACACTATCTCATTTAATCTTAAAATACTTAATTGTCCTTATTTTACTGTTTAAAAACAAGCCCAAAGATTCAAAGTCTAGAGGCTTTAACTCTTCTTCTTAAACAACTTCTTACATATGCGTGTGCACACACACATACAAACACACACACACAGACTTAAGCATGCATACACGCTCACTACATCCTGGGACTGAATAAAAGAAGTTAGTGAGAAAAGAAGATAAAAGAAGTAAGTGAGAAAAGGAGAAAGAACCACAATCAACAACCCAATCCATTCAAGACTTATCTTTCCTGTTCTCAGAGTTCCTTTTGCTCTTAGAACCACTGTTTCTTCCACTTTCTGTTTTGACAGTTTCACACACATACACATTCATACACACATACACACTTCCCCCTCACATTCCTCCCTGTCCTGCCCAGATAAGTGGCGAGCCTAACTTTGTAGGAACCAGGTCCTGGGGTCTTTTTCAATGTCTACAAAGCCTAGTCTTTGCAAGGGAGTGCTCACTGTGTGGTCCCATGCCAGCACTGGACATGGCCCTAGCCAGTGACAGTGAGGGTGAACGGAGTTTCCTCTCATGTCTAGTTCTGTGCTCTGGTAGTCAAAGGAGATGTGAAACCTTCTGTGAGGTTGCAACAGGAAATGGTAGGAGATGATTTCACTTCCCTATTCATAGGAAGACTGAGGGAGTTTTTTTAGAATAAAGAAGGACAGAAAACCCAGAGACTTGTGCTCAGCAAAACAGTTTATTCCTTCCCCTCCTCCTCCCAATCCTACTATTCTTACAGATACAGCTCTATCTTCCCATCTTCAGCCAACTCAAAGGAATATTTCAATTGCCCTGTCCATTGTTGCTTATTTGACAATTATTGATGTAGTATTAGGACTGGAGAAGTTATGGAGCCCCAGCCAGGTTCCCATGTGTTACCTTTCTTTTACTGTCACTACACAGTGGCCTAAAGAATGAACCCTCTCCTTTCCCACTGCCTCTTCCCTAGCCTGGTCATCACATGCCTGCAGTGAACTAATCCCAGTGTTTATGTGCAAAGCATTACAGGGAATATCAGAGTCAGGAGATATGGACTTTACCACCACATCACTTCACTTGTACATCAGTTGGGGAATAAGAAAAAACACTTATAAAAAGAATAGTTTATGTTAAAACAAGTAAGCAATAAGGCCCATGGACTTAGAAGAGAGAAATCATCGTGGGCATGGTGAACAAGAAGTCCTCTCAACTGAGGGGACCTGGAGTGAGTCTTGAATACTGGGCCGGATTCACTTTGAAGAAGAGGAAGGAGGTTGGTATTACAGTTCTGGCATATAGCTCTACAAGCTTGGCAATGCTGTGAGGTGCTATCAGGGAGGACGGGGTCCTACGGAGAGCCTGGGCTGGTCACAATATGCTACAATAACACCACTGGCATCACACATTGAAGGAAGGCACAAATGGGCTCTTGCTTTTTTTCAAGAGTATGGATGTCATAATAAATCTCTTCTAGGCACTTCCTAAACTTGCTCTGTGTAAGTTCTCAGGTTCCTCTTCTGGGAAGATGGTTTTAACTCAAGTCTCCATTTTATAAATACACAAAGTGCTAAACTAATCAATTGTTAGTAATCTAAAACCAACAGCATGAGACAACATTTGTGACTTCTTTTAATGTCTTTTCAAAACTACACTTACCTGCATCCTGCCAGTATGATATTACTTGTCCAGTCTGTCTAATTCCCTCCCACCCACCTACCCTCTACCTCATCTCCATGTACACACACCCTTCCCCTGTCAGGATTCACTTGCTCTTGACTCTGAGACTTCAGTTACAGTTGCCATAGTTAGTTCACCATCCTTCCATCCCGCAGCCAAATTATTTGAACTACTAGGAGATATTCTACCTGATTTGTCACAACAATCTTGAAGAATATTATTTTCATCTTATCCCATGAGAAAATGAAAGCAGCCGGGCTCGGTGGCTCAGCCTGTAATCCCCCACCTTTGGGAGGCTGAGGTGAGTGGATTGCCTGAGCCTGTGAGTTCGAGACCCACCTGGGCAGCGAGACCTCATCTCTACAATAAATCAAAAAATCAGCCGGGCGTGGTAGTGCATGCCTGTAATTCCGGCTACTTGGAAGGCTGAGGTGGAAGGATCGCTGGAACCCAGCAGGTCGAGGCTGCGGTGGCTGGGAGTGGACACTGCACTCCAGTCTGGGTGACAGAGTGAGACTCCAACTCAAAAAAGAAAAAAAAAAGAAAATGAAAGCAGAGAGAGGTTAAGTAATTGCCCAGATTTACCCAGAGACTAAGTAACAGAACCGTGGATTTATTATTCCAAATTCTGTATTCCTATTACTCATCTAGAAAATAGTTTACAATTGCCTACCTCTAATAACAACAACAAAAGCTATATAATTTAGGAATTAACACATAAAAGTAAAACAAATTATGAGGAAAAAAAAGCTTTATTATAGTACATAAATGAAGACCTGAGAAGTGGAGAGATATACCATATTCATGGATGGGCCATCCTGACATAATGACACTCTCTCCTCATATCTCTAGCCTGGGTGCTACCACAACCAAAACCACAGCAGGATGTGGGGAGAGTTTGACAAACTGATTATAAAATGTACATGAAAATAAAGTCCATGAGTATCTTAGACAATTTTGATAGAGAAAAGCAAAATGAATTTTGGGGGGAGGTAAAGTGGCAAAGGAAAGAAGACTAGTCCTACTAAATCGTAGCACATATTAAAAAGCCAAAATAATTAAAACAATATGATACTCCCATAGGGGTAGCTTGGTATAAAATCCCTAGGAATAAGTGGAATATTTGGTAAATGGTATTAAGTTATATTTACTGTGTGAGGTAAAAATAAAGCTGTATCCTTACATCATATAGAAAAGTTCCAGATCAATAAAGATCTAAATGTGAAAGAAAAGCAGTAACACTAATAGAAGAAAGCATAGTGAAATGTTATACGCCAGGTAAATATTTGGCAAAGCTTTTTTACCCAAAATTATTCATCAAAAAGAGAGAAATACTTTCTGCATAAGTTCTTATTTTTTTTCCAGATTATGGACACTCTCTCAAAGCTGTTTAGGGAAGATACATTACCCTAAAATCATCTCAATTAATAAATACATGATAATTAGAATAAAATTGGTTTATGAAATGTGGTAGAAACAGAAATATGCCCTTATTAATATATTATGTTATAAAGTATAATTTTAAATTTGTGAGTTACTAAATAAATAAAGGTAGTTAGCAGAGATTTGACTATTCACCTAAAACTTCTACATTCCTAACACTTTATAAATTGAAATTGGAAAAAAACTTTTAAAATATTGAGAAATGAAGCACACTTCATCTCTTATAATCCACCAAAAATTGTAACTTTACTGCTTTGGAGTTGGAAAGGATTTCTAAAATAACATAGGCACAAACCATAAGGATTTTGACTGCCAAAATAAAGAATTATATTTAGAGAAGGAACTGTATACAAATTTAACTAATGAGCAGCAAAGTGGAAGAAGGCATTTGTAATATCTTAATGATATAAGATTATTATATAAGATGTATACATTCCCCAAATTCACAAGAAAAAGATAGAAAATGCAATTTTAAACTGACAAAATATATGAATCAGCAATTCACAGTGAGAGAAACCTATGAAAAGATGTCCAGCCTCACTAGTAATGAAAGGCAAATTAAAACAAGATACCACTGTACACCCATCATATTACCAAAATTTGAAATTCAATAAAGGGAAATTAGAACTATCGTGCTCTGTTGGTGGGAATGTAGACTGTTTATGATCCCTGAATTATAGAAATTATAAATAAGTTGGGTGAAAAAATTAACATAGAAAATAAAGCAGCACTGCCCAATTTTGAGGTGGAGTGCTCTAAGTCTTAGAAGAGTTCAATTCAGATCAATTAAGGGCCGTAGAATTAGGGACAGGTTCAAAGAAGAGGGTGAGCTGGAGTCAGACCTACAGAATTGGTTAAGATGGGAACAAGCTGAACAGAATAAAGAAGGCATTCCTATGAGAGAAAAGAACCTGGGGAAATGTCCTGAAGTGAAGACAGATACGATACTGTCAATGAAGAGTGAGGAAAACAGATTCATTCAAGAGCAGGATTCCAATTGGGAATAGTGGGTGATATTTTTTTATTAGAAAGAGGGCACCAGACTAGAGAAGATATTTAATACTTCTAGAGTACTTAAGTGATATAAAAGAATGGTTGATCAGAGAGGCAAAATGACCTAAGATATCTAATTTTCTATTTTCCCTTAGATTAGACTCTGGAACCATGTGAAAAATAGGGACTTCCTCACCAATACCAAAATAATTTAACTCTAAACCTAAAACCTCCCTGTTCTCCAAAGCAACTCCCAGGTCCTAAGGAAGCAAGAAATAAGGCATATGCAATAGTAATTTATCATCAGTGATCATGAGCTGCGTGCTCCCATTATCCGCCCAGGACAGCACTGTTGCAGTTCTCCTTGGACGGTTCACTCATACCAAAGAAACATCATCTGGAAAGACAGGTGCATTCTTTGCCCTTCCAGGATATTCCTACTTCACTTCAGGAACTCAATGGTACTGTTTTCCCAGAACTGATATGACTGAATTGAAACAGTGTTTATTCTTCCCATGCCTGGGCTCCTGTTTCCTAGTTATGGTGAGGGTTGAAAGGAGTTATATATTCCTCTAAACAGACTATACTAGACATAAACATTTTCACAAACAGTACAATTTAAATACACACACACACACACACATACACACACACACACACACACACACACACACAGCTTCCCCAATCATTTTGTAAGCGGGTTATCAGAAAATAGCTGTCTTCATTTCTCACGTATTTTGTACCAACTGATAGAAGTAAAAGCCATCATTTTTGTGGTGCTGAAACCAGGGAATAGGAGCTCAGATGACGAGTCAGGGGTTTTCCCTGCTTTCCTCCCTAATGAGGCAAGTTGTGTTCAGGTTAAGGCATGCTGAATTTGAAATGACAACCCAAGTTGAGATATCCAGAAACAAATACCATGAGTTAAGAAAGAAGCCACACTGATATTAAGAAATGAGATTTATTGCCTTCATGTGAGAAGGGATGTGGCTATAACAGACAGGCCACTCTGGGCTCCCCTGGATGCAAGCCCAGGGACAGCAGAGCCCCAGGCTTGGAAACCAACACGCACACACCTGGGGGGAGTCCCAGGGACTTCTGATCTGATGAAGGGAGATCCTGGGCAGGATGTGAGAAACCTGAGCACCCTCTGTTTGGATGGACAAAGTTGTTGGCATCAAACTCTGGTCAGGAAGAATCAATCTGAGAAGAAAGAAGGATAGAGGAAAGCTCTCAGAAAGACCCCCTCCTCCTCAAAGGCCTTGCTCAGCCTGCCTGGAGCATACCCTGAAGAGGCTGATCTCTCCTTGTTTCCAAATCATCTCCAAGTACCTTTTCTACAGCTCCCCGCTTCACTCCTCTCCCACTGTAAGCCATTCTTGTGACCTGTAATTGCGTGTGTGTAACTAGGTCCCCAACTGGGAGGATGGTGTTGGATACAGGTCCCATTCCCATATGTTCCCCTATACCACAAACCAGTCTTGACACATGCACGCATGTATCACTGTATCTGGCTCCCATGGCTCACCCACCCCTCTAGATGACATACCATCTGAGCAAGGCCTCCGGAAGTAGATGATGAGGATGATGCCCACAATGATGCCCAGAATACCTAGGCCAAAGGCCACACCACACAGCACATTCTCCAGAAGATCTGAGGGCAGTGCATTCTCAGGTACTGGAGAAGAGAAAGTAGATCAGCCCAGGGACCTGGTTAGGGAGCCTCCCATCCAGGGGAATGATTTGGGTGTCTGGGATGACAAGGGACAAACTGAGGCATGGAAAATTAAAGTTGGCTTAGAGTAAGAATGGACAAAATAAGGTCCAAATAGACACAGAAATTCCCTTCCATGGGTTTATCCCCTTTTCCCCCCCAAAGGGCCAGACTTCCAGGGAGAAGGACCTCACCCCAATAAGCAATTGCTGTGTAGCGGTCAATTTCATGAGTCACAATGCAGGAGAAAACGTCATAGGGTTCTGGTGTGAAGTTTAAGTAAGAAAAGGCCTGGAAACTGAGTCCATCGACAGCTGACACGAAAGTAGGTCCAATTCCTTCCACAGGGACAGAATGATGCTGCCAATTCACCGTCAGCATGGGTGGGAAGAGATTACTGATGAAACAGACCAGTGTGTTGGGTTTGCCAAACTCCAGGGGCTTCATTGTGAACACCTCAGCGATAGGGAACCCTGGTGGGGGGATTGAGATATGAGGGAAAGCAGAGACTAGTTGAGATGATACTTCTGTATTTGGAAGGGCATGATATTTGGATGTCAGGGCAGAGAACTCAGTAGGTCAGGATATGGGAGATGGAGATGAGGAAGGTGCTACGGCTCCAAGGGAGGTCTTCCATGCAAGAACCACAGCTAGACCTAAAAGCTGAGACAGATCCAGGCCACACACACCCCCCCCCCCCCCCGGACTTCCTGCAGTACTTCCTATCTAGAGCTCATACTGCGGTCTAATCGTACAGTGTTTTTTCATTAAAACATAGGCGCTTCATCAGATATTTCTATTTTCCCCTTCCATCTTGCTGGGCATAGTAACACAAGTGCTGTTATTCAGCAGGTATCAATTGGTACCTGTGAAATTCATCAAGTTCAATAGTTTTAAATGCCTATTGCATGCTAGGCACTTGTCTTCTGCCCACAAAAAAACTCAGGGAGCAGATCAAAGTTGGTGGAAAAAATAAGGCAATGAGGAGAACCAAAAGGCATTAGATATGTAGAGCATATATGAAGGGGAATCTTGCAGTGTACAGATCAATCAATGAGGTTAGGAATGTGCCCTCCCCCCTTCACTCCCTGAAAATTCTCCTGACCTCTGGATACTGGGATTTTCCCATAAAGTTGTGGGCCTATTTGCTGGATCATTGTCTGGCAGAACTCTCTGTCAAATAAAATGGCAGAGGTATCTCTCTGATCCTTAGCCCATTCAGCAAATTCAGGCAGGCGAGGCACTCGAATGTTCTTGGAAAAGTCGAAGGAGAAAAGCTGGTCTTCATCATAGGTCTCAGAGAGTTCCACGCTGGGGCTCCCATCCTGGCAGAACACTGTGTGTAGGAACGTGTGATTTTGGAGGTCATCCCGCCACACTGAAGCAGCAGCTGCAAAGGAGACAAGGCGAGGTTCTGGGAGCGGGGGAGCCTCCTTCTCTTTAACTCCCAACATTTCTTCAGTCACTTGACTGGCATCAGGCCTCTCTGAAAATGTCTTCCTCTCCTTCAGCCCTCTAGACCTCCCAATTACAGGACTGAGGGAAATGATCCCATAACTGCAGAAAATAACCCCTCTTCTTTGAAACTCTTGGCAGGAATCCACCAGTCAGCAGGAATCACCTGATGCGCAGAATAATAGACTTCTGGAGGAAGAGGGATCTTTGAGATTATTCTCCCATTCTGCCCTTTCCTCTATCAAGCAGTAAACTAAGGACCAAAAAGTTGAGATGTTTCAAGAATCACAAGGTAAGTTAATGACAGAAAGCAGAGTAGAATCCTGAGTGAACTGAAAATAGCATTCACTTTGTTCAAATCCCAGCTCTACCACTTTCCAATGCTGTGCACTTGCACAAATAAATCTCGGAGTCCTACTTTCTTCATTTGTACAAGAGAGAATAATCCCTGTTTCAAGAGATTGTCTTAAATGGAACATGTAAAACACCTCTGACATTGTTTACCATCTATATCATCACAATTCCCCTACTGTTTACAATATCTCTTAAGGCTGTCCCCCATTTACAATGCCCGAGGCTCTTCCTCATGCTCTGGGTGGGCTCCCTAGGCTTTAATACCATCAGGATGGAAGTAAAGGTAGGTACCATCTTACCTTCAGAGACGACCCAGGAATGGGGCAGCAGCCACAGAAGTCGCAGCAGTTGTAGAAGCGTAGCTCCTTGGTTCTGCTCATGACCCATATCTACACACCACACAATAGTGGAAGCTACCAACCCAGCGGACCCAGGTCCTCCAACTCCCTACCCCAAAGGGTAGCCTTAGATCATGTTTCTCCAGCTCATTTCCAATAGTTGCCCTTGTTGTTTTGTCTAAACCAATCAAGGAAGTGTAAGGTCTAACATCATCAGTCACTGGGGAGAGACCTGGGGCCAGCAATCCCTGACGACTTGACTCTTTTTTTTTTTTTTGAATCGGCGTCTCACTCCGTCGCCCAGGCTGGAGTGCAGTGGCCCGCTCACCGCCACCCCAGCGTCTACCTGCTGGGCTCAGGCGATCCTTCCACCTACAGGAGCGCGGCCACGCCTGGCTAATTTTTTGATTTATTGTAGAGACAAGGTCTCACTAAGTTGTCCGAACTGGTCTCGAACCCCTCAGCTCAGGCAATACTCTCGCCTCGGCCTCCCAAAGTGCTGGGATTACAGACTTAAGTCACCGCGCCTGGCCAAGATTTGGCTCTTTAACTGGGCCACACTGTGGCCTGTAACTAGGCTGGGAACGCCAGCAGAGGAATGTCTGCCTCCTGATGGAGTTCCCTCTTCAGTCTGAAGCTGTCAGCCTCCGCCCCTAAGCGCACCATCTGGCTGTTCAGAGCAGTGCCGCCTCCTGGCAGAATGCAGCCCTGGGGAAGCGCATCTTCCCACAGCCGCCTCCCAGGACTCTTCAGACCCTGCCTCCTCCTCCTTCCTCTTCCTCATGAAGGTTATTCTCCTTCGGGAATTAACTCTAATTCATTCTGCAGACATATTTGGGGGAACCCAAAAAAACCTGGTATTATATTTTGGAGGTCGGGTCCTTAGTAATACAGGCTTCCCCCACTAGATAAGTGTTCTAGGAACCCATTGGCATCAGTGTACCAGCTAGGGTTGTTGTGAGAGGCTGCGTTCAGCTTCAGTGAATTTTTGGAGATTCAACACGTTTCCCCATTTTATGATGGGTGATATACATGAACAACCACTTCGTGCTGAGTGTTCAGCATGACCCCTGTGCCCCACCCTTCCCTATTCACCGGATCTCACCCCGAGAAACTTTTTTTTCTTTTTCCCAGGATTAAAAAAATCCTCAAAGGGAAACGTTTTGCCGATGTGGAAGAGATGAAACAAAAAATGGCAGAAGCACTAAAAGGCATCAAAATTGAGTTTAAAAAACTGTTGTGAGCAGTGGAAAAAGCGTCTCGATTCAGTGTATTGCATCAAACATAAAGTCCTTTGAAGGTGAATGAAGTTTAAATGTGTAAGAATAAATACATAGTTTTTGAGAAATAAATTCCATTTTTTTATGGCCCCCCTCATATATTGAAATTGTAATAAGTGCTAGGTATTGGACCCAGTGCTAGAAATACAAAGACGAATAAGGCATATTCTTGCCTCCATAGAGCTTAGTCTCTAGTGGGAGGGGGGGTGTCAATGAATAAATAATTACAAAACAATGTAATGTATTCAAATAAGAATGTGCCAAGTATTTTGGAAGTAGCAGTAATTTTATGAGGCTGGGGAATAAGTAACAGTCAGTCAGACTCCTAAGAATGTTGAAGGAAAAACAATTTGACCTGCAGAACATGAAGGAAAAGAAAAACATTCCAGGGCAAGGAGTAGGCAGATGTGTGGAGATCAAAGGCATCCAGAGCTCCCCTTTGGAGACTCTCATGTACTAGTTGATGTGAATGTGGTGAAGGTTGCTCATGTGTTTCTATGTGGTAATAAGGAGTAAAGGGGTAGGGGTAGAGGGGTGTCATGATGAGCTCAAAATTGAGGCAAGAGCCAGATCATGGTCCTGTTATGCCAAAAGGAGGGTTTTGCTGTTACTTAGTAAAAGACAGAGATATTAAAACTGAGGAATAGCCGGGCTTGGTGGCTCAGCCTGTAATCCCGCGCCTTTGGGAGGCTGAGGTGAATGGATTTCCTGAGCCCACGGGTTCGAGACCCGCCTGGGCAGCAAGACCTCATCTCCACAATAAATCAAAAAATCTGCTGGACATGGTAGCGCATGCCTGTAATTCCAGCTACTTGGAAGGCTGAGGCGGAAGGATTGCCGGAGCCCAGCCGGTCGAGGCTGCGGTGGCCAGGAGCAGCCACTGCACTCCAGTCTGGGTGACAGAGTGAGACTCCAACTCAAAAAAAAAACCCCCAAAAAACCTGAGGAATGACACAATTATTTTGGCATTTTAGAAAAATTGTTCTAATTGATATTGCAAACAATGAACTAGAGCTTGGAAGAATTGAGGCAAAACTGCCGGTCAAGAGTCTATAACATATTAAATCAAGATTAAAAAGTGGCAAACACACCTGCACACACATCTCCCTCTTGTAGCAATAAAGCAATAATTTAAGTGAGAGATAATAAGTGCCTGAATTAAGTCATAATCAGAAGAGATGAAGAAGATAGACTATTGAGATAATTAGGAAGTAGACTCCAAAGGGTTTGGCTACCAATTAGATGTGGGAGGGAGGAAATGGAGCCAAGGATAACTCCTAGGCTTCTAACATGGGTGGGTGGGTGGCCAGTGATAAACTGAGTTGAAGCAGAAAAGAATGCCACAGGAGCAGGTTAAAAGAGAATGAGTTTGATTTTGTACATGTTGGATTTGAAATGCTGGTGGAACAGCCAGCTGAAGCTGTGCAGGGACAGTGAAGTGTGTGGGTGTGGGTATGGATCCAGATATGGGCTGAAGAACACTGTTTGAGAGTCATCAGCACAGTCGAAGCAGAGGCCAGGGATAAGATCACCCAAATACACTGTGCAGAAGGAGCAGGAAGTGAAACAAGAACATAAGTATACATGGGTTCAAGCACCAAACTTCCTATCGGTTATCCAGGATACAGGCAGGAACATATAACCACTCTAGGTATGTTAGACAGAGAAAATTTAATAAAATGAATTGATTACAAGGTGCTAAAGGGCAAGAAATACAAAAAGTAGGATGGTCCTAACTGCGTAAATTTTTAAAAAGTTAATATTTGGAAATCAGAAGCTGCCATTGACCTTGAGGTGGAATTTGTAATCTATGCCTGCTACTGTCCTGTGGAAGACACTGTCATAGTTCTGATCTACTAAAAAGGTGCCACTTCTATTAAGGCTACTTAATAGTAGCCTTAGGCACTTCTGCCCAGGAGGCTAGAGTCCATGGTCACCTATCTTTCCTGCTGCTACATCTACCAGCAATTACTAGCAAATGTGACCCTGTTAGAGGCTAAAGCAGGAAGCTTCTCAGTTTCTCCTGCCTTCTGATGTCTCACCAGTGCCTCCTGTTGGTAGAATCTAACAGGAAGCCAGTTGTCCTGGCTAGGAAATAAGTACCTGACTGACTCCAAGGCTGAGCAGTTAAATAAACAATACGGGAGGGTAGGTGTGGCACTGAGACAATAGATAATAACCTGTATACTGACACACCCTAATTTGTAAGAATCTGGTGGCACCAGAAGCATCAAGAGAGTAAGAGAAGAACAAGGAGGAAGCAGATGAGAGAAATAAGGAGAGGTGATCCATGAAGGAGGGCAAGGCCAGCATTTCTGAATACTACTCAAAAATTGAGGAAGAACTGAAAATTGTCCTTAGATTTGGTGATTATGAGATGGCTGACAAATTTATTGAGAGCAGTTTCAGTGTTGTAGTGGGAGTTGACTCCAGATTGTGGTGGGCTAAAAAGTAAGTGGGAGGTGAGGAAGAAACTGTCAGTGTATATGCTTCAAGTTTGATAGAGAAAAGAAAGACAGAAGGGGTGGGGGAAGAGGCAGTGAGAAAGCCCTAATGTAGCAATTAAATAATATGAGAAATCAATCTATGTGAATATGGTCTATCAGTGTTTCTGAGGCTTGATATTGAAAATTGATATCCTTTCCTTTTGTTTTTTTTTTAGGAAGGCTGGAGTGTAGTGGCTAGTCACAGGTGCAGTCATAGCTTACTGCAAACTTGAACACTTGGGTTCAAATGATCCTCCTTCCTCACCCTCCTAAGTAGCTGGGATCACAGACACAAGACACTTCACCTGGCTTTATACCCCCTTTTAGTAAAGAAACAACATCAGTGATAACAGCAAAAAGTAAAACCCCAAACAACCCCATCCCATGACCTCCTAGATATTCTGCAATAGCAACATGTATGTCTGTGTATGTGTCTGTGTGGTGGAGACAGGGTGCCAGGGAAGTGGTAGGGCTTAGAAATCATTGTTAACACTCCAAAATACAAAAGAACATTCTCCCAGTGTCCCAACCTTTGTGAACTAACCCATCAGTGGTTCTGGCGATGGGAAGATTCAGGCCCCTTACAACAGTAGAAAAGAAGTTTATGAAACTACAAGGACTGAAGGGGGAGATATATGTCACACAGCCCTCTAGAGTTCAAACCAGGGACCAACAAGCTTTTCTGTAAAGAGCCAGATAAATATTTTAGGCATTGTGGGCTACCAGATCTGTCATGAGTGCTCAACTGTGGCATGAAAGCCTCCATAGGCAATATGTAAATGAAAGAGCATGGCTGTGTTCCTAGTTTCCTCCCACTTCTCAAGCAGCTCCTTCTCAGTCTTCTTCATAGACTCTCTTCTTTCAGCTACGCTTTAAATATCGGTGTTCCCCAGAGTTTTGTCCTCAGCCCTCTTTTTATTTATGGACACTAAAATTCTAATTTCATGTAATATTCATGTGTCACAAAATCTTTTTTTGCTTTTTGTCCCCCAACCATTTAAAAATGTGAAGACCATTCTTAGCTCTTAGACCATTTAAAAACAGGTGGTGGGCAAGAATTTGCTCACAGCCCATAGTCTGCTGAATGATGTTCTATGCATGTGGTCAGAATTGGGAATGAAAACCCCAAATAAATCCACCCTTCAAAGAAGAGCCCCAGTTCCCCTTATTATTGGGATGGCATGCAGTTAGTTAATCAGCACACTGTTACACCAGATTATTCAGAGGGAGATCTGGGGCTTAAGAGCAAGAGAAAGTGGACTGAATGGGAAGGTTTTAGAATAGGTATAGCAGACACTGCAATTACTTTGAGTGAAAGGAACAAGGAAAAGGGATCCAAGTTCTCCAGAGAGCA